AGAGCGCTTGCCTTGAACTGAAGAGCTGAGGGACAGCGCCCAGGCCCAGAGTTCAAGCCCCACGACCGACAAAAAAAAAAATATTGTTCAACGAATAAAACACAATATTTTGGATCGTGGGCCTTGAACTCTGGCCCTGGGCTCTGGCTCTGAGCTCTTAAGGTCTACCACTTGAGCCTCAGCCCCACTTCCGGTTTTCTGGTGGTTTGTTGGCAGTAAGAGTGTCACTGACTTTCCAGCCCGGGCTGGCTTTGAACTGTGATCCTCCCATCTCAGCCTCCTGAGTAGCTAGGGTTACAGGGGTGAGCCTCCAGAGCCCAGCGAAAACTATTTTCTTGTGAAAAGGAGCGAACCATATTTAGAATGAGGGTGCAACTCCCCTCCCCCACCAGGTGCACCTTTCAGCGCCGCTAGCTTAAAGACCCACAGTGTAGGGGGGGGAAGGTGGGTACCGCCCCCCTGCCCCCCTAGCCTGAACACCTGCAGTGGGGAAAAGGCGCGTTCTGCTCCCTTCCCCCACTCGATGCACATGCCCCCTCCACTAGCCTGCACACACGAGGTGGCAGGAAGGAGAGTGGAACTCCCCACCCCCATCCAGTCCACCTCCTCTCCCTTAGCCTGAAGTCCTGCCATGGATGGGAAGGTGGGCACCGCTCCCCTCCCCCACCCATTCCACATCCCCTCTACCCTAGTCTGAAGACCTCCAGTGGGTGGGAAGGTGGGCGCCGCTCTGCTCCCTTCTTCTACCAAGCGCACCTCCCCCATCCCGTAGGCTGAACCCTGGAAGAAGTGTGAGGGAAGGTTGGCGCCTCTCCCTTCCACCAAAGCGTACCCCAACCCCCATCATCCCGCTGCTACCCAGAAGACCTCCAGTGCATGGGAAGGGGGGCAGCAAAGTCCGCACCACCAAACCCGCTACCCCCACCCTCTGCTAGCATGAAGGCCACCAGTGGTGTCTCTGCCACGGGTGGGGGTGCAGGCAGCAAAGTCCCCACCACCAAGCCCCTCCCCGCCCGCGCCAGCCGGTGGTAGCTAGCTAGGTAGCCTGAAGACTTGTGGCGGGTGGGAAGGTGGGTTGCGCTCCCACCCGACCAAGACCCCTTCCCCTTGCACCCATGAGGCCTACATTCCACACCGGATCTCAGGAGGAGTGCTAAGGAAGAGACGCCACTGTAGCCAGCCAAGTCCTCGCCAGGAAGGACAATCTGTGCAGGACGAGATTTTATGACGAGAATAACGTGGGGGGAGTGGTGTGCTGTGGACCCGTAGGGTACCATGGGAAAGGGGGCGGCAGCACGTAAAGGGGGTGGGCACCACAGTGAGGAGGCGATGCACTGTGGGGACGGGGAAAGGCACCACGACCAGGGGGCGGGCATCCATCACGTACAGGGGGTGGGGACCAAGGGGCGGAGGAAGGTCAGCACCAAGAGAGTCGGGCATTGGGTGCACAGGGCGGGCAATGCGTGCAGCGTCAGGCCGCATGGCAGTGGGAACCGCACCATGGGGAGGGGAGAGGGCAGCACAAGGAAGGGGCGGGCATCAGCTGCACAGGGAAATATGGAGTGGGGGAAGGGCCGCACATGGAGTGAGTGAAGCACCATGACAAAGGGAAAGGGTAGCAAGGGGTGGGAAGGGCCCCAGAATGAGGGGGTGAGGCGTCTTGGGGAAAGACAGCACCCGGAAAGGGGCAGAGTAGCACGGGGAATGGGTAGAGCACCATGGGGAAGGGGAAGGGCAGCATTTGGAAGGGGCGGGGCATCCTGGGGATTGGGAAGGGAAGCAGGAAGAGGGGGCGAACATGATGTCGATGGGTGGGGGCACAGCGGGGTGGGGAAATGGGAGCACGGGGAAGGGGTCAGGCAACCCAAGGGACAGTAAGGCATCAGGAGGCAGGGCCGTGGGCACCCGGGTTCTTCTGTAAAGCTGGAGAGCCATACTTATCCTCTCGAAACAGACCAGGATCCATCTACTGAAGCAAAGCAGGGACACGGCACTGCCTTACAAACTCACCATCCTTGCCACATTTCCTAGCATCCTTGTGACATAGTATTCTCACTTCCCTGTAATTAGATAGAGGTCCCAGGAGAAAGTATTAATTTCCTTGAGCCTCAGGTTATCTCACTGGTGAAATGAAAATGACGCTAATAAAAATGCTGGAAGCAGGGTGCCTATGGTTCTTACCTACTCAGGAGGCTGAGATCTGAGGTTCACAGTATAAAGCCAGCCAGGGCAACAAAGGCTGTTAGAATGGTAACTAGAGTTAATCACCAAAAAGGCAAAAGTAAAGCTGTTGCTTTAGTGGTAGATTGCCAGGCCTGATAATTAAAGCTCAAGCACCAGGCACCCAGGCCCTATGTTCAAGCCCCAGGACCAACAGCAAACAAAGTGCCTCTACCTTCAATCATTGTAAGAAAAGAGATGATAGTTACCAAGAACCTATATTAGGTTCTTCATGAAAATTGTGTATTAGCATTCTTCAATATGGCATCCACATCCTTTTGCCCTTTGGGGTTAGTAATTGCTTTCCAGCCTGCAATACCAAAGTTTTCAATACATAAGGCAATTTATACCAGCTAACAACAATCATAAAAGAGAACAAGGATTGAAATCTAGTTAATTCCTTGAGCTTGTTAAGGATCAAACACAAACCCTTCTGTATGATAAGCAAGAACTTTACAACTGAGATACAACCCTAAATCCAAAATTACGCATTTTTTGGTGAGTCTGAGGCAGGCACTTAACACAGAGTGCCTGTTTTGCAGGTCCAAATGTAAAAATGCCCCTGTGAAGCCAGGTACATGCTGGTGGATTATGTCTATAATCCTAGCTACTCAGGAGGCTGAGATCAGAGGGTTATGGTTCAAAGCCAGACTGGTCAAGAAAGTCCATGATAGTCCTATCTCTAATTAACTAGTAAATCCAGAAGTGCCCCTGTGGCTCAAGTGGTAGACAGCAAGGTTTCAGCAAAATAAGCTAAGGGACAGCAAAACTGAGCCCTGAGGTCAAAACTAAGAAACAGAACACACACACACACACACACACACACACACACACACACACATGTGTCCAAAAAATCAAAGTAAGCCTGTGTCTGGTAATGCACACCTGTAATCCTAGCTACTCAGGAGGCTGAAATCTGAGAATTGTGGTTCAAAGCCACACCAGGAACAAAAGCCTTTGAGACTCTTACCTTGACTAAATTAACAAAAGTTCTAGAAGTGAAGCTGTGGCTCAGGTGGTAGAGCACTAACCTTGAGGTAAAACAGGATGCAGGCCTTGAGTTCAAGCCCCAGGACCAGTAAAAACAATGCAAAGGAAAGAAGAACAAGAGAAAGAAGAGGAAAGAAAAAAGAGAAGAAAAATATCACAATGGTACCTAGAGATACTCAAGGCAGTTTCTAGCCTCCTTTCACTGATTAAAACCAAGTGTCTCCCAAAAGCCCATGACTCTAGCTCTATCAACACAGCTTCTGGGAGCTCATAGCACATTGTGTGCCTCTGACAGGCTTTGGGAACATCAGCCTTGATATCAGCACCATATGCAGAAATGGTGAGTACACAGCTCAGTGTTACACAGGCCAGTGGCATGGGTCTTCAACTGGGGACCAACATCCCAGTCGCTGCTTCACAGAGTAGTAAACTTGTTCTGCTGGAAGAAGCCTAAGAGGAAGCACATAAGCATTCTGGAGGCTCCTGTGCTGGGAAAGCTTGCTATGCAGCCACAGAGAGGCTAAAGACTCTAGGGCATATGAATTTGAATGGTATTCCCATAACAATTTACACCCATATCCTCCTAACACAAGAACACACACACACACACACACACACACACACACACACATTGTGGATATGCCTCTTTATTGCTATTATGAGTAGAGAGGATAAAACGGTTGTAGTGTCAGCATGTAGGCCAAGTGTAGAAGGCACTAGAAGAACCCATCTGCCTCTGATTCCTGGAGAAGATGGTACTCTAGGGCTCTTCCAGCCACATGGGGAAGATCATGCCTCAGTTGTCACTGTCACTACTCTTCTCACAGCTTCTGGTCATTCTTGTCACAGTTTTCCTATGTTTGACTCTCCTATTCCGAAACCAAATCTGCAAGTAGAGTGAAGAATCATAGGTTTACTATAATGAGCAGTGAGTACAATAAAGGAGAAAGCCTATCATGCAACTTTATCAGGCCCTGAGAGTTGAACTTGCTCAAGGTAACTCTTCTGTCAATGCTTTAATCTCTTGCTGGGGAACAACGGTAGCTCAGTGCTGGGACCCATGGCTAGTATATGTAGAGCCAAAGGGTAAATCCCCAACACCATAAACAACAGCAAAGACTCTGTAAAGATCAACACACCCCTTTCTTCAGGTCACACAAAGTGAGCACCCACTTTGTGCCAAGTGCGGGAACAGGCTTACATTGGGTGAGGGAAGTGAATAAATTCGCTGATAAATTTACATAAGCTGTAGTCTGACATAACATTTTGAAATATATTGAGATTTCAAAGCACAGCTGTAGAATCATCTATGAAGTACAAACTGTCACTGGACCAAAAGTTACTCATTTATATTTAAAGTATATTTAAAAAATCGTAACTTATGTTTTGTAATCCAAAGTTCACCCACTCTCTTCATCAGTTTACAATTTGAATGTCAGTGCTTTCCACATGCAGTTTCATTGCCAACTTTCAGATTTTGAGACTTATTTGAAGGAATCCACGCAAAGTATTCCTAACTTCTGTATGTTTCTGAAGGAGAGATTCTGACCACTGTCCACCAAAGAGCAAGAATTATTTCTGTGCAGGTAATAGCAGTGATGGAAAAATACTAAACTGTCAAAAAGTCACTTACTCATGTTTAAAATAACAGTACTGGTGCTGCTCTCTGTCACAAAAAGAACATGTCAAGTTAAATAATTTTTATTTACTTTTATATAGGAATATATGGCACATTTACTGTTGGTTATTTATGCATGCGATTTTATTCCATCATTTCATTTGAGAAAAGTCTAAAACTCCCACAAATACCAGTGATGACAGTGGTTCCTGTTGGTCCTCCAGCTCTTGGCTTCAGCGGCAGGAAGAAACCAAGCAGTGCTAGGTTCTAGTGGAGGTGGTGTGGCAGCAATATGGTCAAAATCAGTTTCACATGTGGAACTCTCCACTGCCATGCGTTCTTCCCAGGACCACGATGAGCCAGAGGGTGAGAGGCTGAGGAGCAGCAGCTGGCAGCCTGAACTAACTCCCACAGCTAGGGCAAACCAGCTCCCTTTTGGGGGGACATCACACTATGACACACTCCTCTTTTGGCAGTATCCCACCTGCCCCTGCTGCCATCGTCCTCTTCCACTCTAAATTTTGGGATTTGTCCTTTGTCATTTGGCCTTTCTATTGGGAAATCACATGCGCTCCACTTAGAAAAGAATGAGAGGATTTGCCATTGTTCTTGTGTTTTTCCGGCTTACTCTGCCCATTTGAGATGAAAATAGCACCAGTTTTGTGCTAGAACACTATCTTAAGGCAACCATCAATCAAAGTTTGCTTTTGTACAGT